TGGCCCTAGGATCTAGGGTCGCTCAGCCCCTGGAATAGCTAACAGGGTGTTTCTCATCACAAGGGCTTGTTTTGTGATGTCGTCTAGCCTAGCCTATATCTGATCTCTACACCCGTCAGCACTTGGGACCCCAAACAGGAGAACACTTCGTCCCTCTTGATTGCTGTTGCGTGTTCCCAGCCATACCCTTTGGGTAGCTAGCAACATCCAATTCACAGTCCTCCTTTATGATTATAGTCCATCATTCCTGTATTGGATGCGTCAAAGGACCAATCTCGTATTACTCCTTTCTTTACTAGTCAGTAGATGGAATAGAAGAAAACTCACAAGCTCCAAACCCACTCATGAAGTCAGTGTTGACTCATGGTGACCCTTCGGGACAAGGTTGAACTGCCCCTGGGGTTTTCTAGGACTGTAACTCTATGGGAGGGAGGAGAAAGACTTGTCTTTCTCCCTCCGGGGCACAAGAGCTGAGCTCAATGGAGAATGCAGAGACATCAATAGCCCAGCAATCAAACAGTGAGAAATTCCGTTCTTGTTTTACACGTCATAATACATGAACATTTTAAAGATTTAAAAAAATGAACCAATCTATTAAACTTTTAGTTGAAAACAAACTAGAACTTTGATCATATCAAATAACACCCTTTATGTTTCAGTATCCTTTGTCTTTGCGTCTTTATTGTTCTATATCCTTTAAAAATGTACACATCCACTTCGTGACCCCAACACACGCATCTTACGCTGCTCTGGGTGGCCTGAGTTCAACCTGCTAGTCACCTTCCCTCTGACATTTGTGAATCCTGTGACCACCTGCAACCTTTTCAATCCATTTAATGTTCCTCCTTTTCTTATCTTGGGTCTGTGATTGTCCTTCTAGGTCTGGAACTACTTGTCTCACTGTAAGAATCACCCCTTTATTTAGATGAAACACATTCTGTCATATAGCTACTTAGTTACTTGGAAATAACTAGCTTTCAAGGTTGTTATAAACACAAAAAGATCAGTTAGAATGAAGTACTCCAGATAATTTAACGCATGTGCAGCCAATTGTCTCCCAACTGAATCAGAGTGAGTTTCTTTTCTTTTATTAAGGTTGTATTAAACAGAATTTAAACAAACAATTCATCTTTTCTCCATTCAATTTTATATCAAAGCTTCTTACGGTACCAACGAAAACAATTAAAAACTGCATGAAGCCGTTTTTCTTGGAAGAGAAAAAGAACTGAGGCTTTTAGACTGTGCTCTGAACAACATCAGCTTTGGCCTTCAACTGGATACAAAAACAGAAGCTTACACAAAGCAAGCGCTAGATCAGGGGGAAACAGAAAAAGTACAACCACTTTTAAACTCAAACGTATTCAACACCATCCGACATAAACGGTTTTTCGGTGAATACATCTAAAGAGTCATGACAGCTCCTACACACACCTGCCCCTCTCACTTACTGGTCTGAATACAAAACAAATCTGATGGCAAACTTGCATGGAAATCACCAGACTCGTTCTCTGGCCCCTTTACCCCAGCAGTCAACTCATTCTGCAGCCAAACCTCAGAAACATGACCATTTACGAGGGGCTGCTTATTTTCAAGGGGTTCTCGCCTCCAAAGTAGGACCAATCTCTTAGAATGAACGCCCAAGGGCTTGTATCTGGGGCAGATTTGAAGCAGACAGTAGTCATCAACTGATGGTAATGTGGGGACAGGTGGCCCCATTTTGAATCCGTGTGCATTTGCCTCCGTATGCGCCAGGCAGAGTAGCCATGGAGCCGCCGGCAAAAAGTAGAGATTCCTCCCTCGGAGGCCCTGGGCGTTGGAGTAACCAAAATTAAGGCCAACAACCCCGGCCCTGCCCGCTGCCAGAGGGGCAGCCGGCCCCTCCACGTGCAAGTTCGCCTGAATGTCTCCTGCTCAGGGTGTCTCCCTACACAGGTTCGCGTATTTCTGGTGTTCTGGAATGCATTGGTGACGATCAGGGACTGCAGCCTTCAGCACGGATCACACCGCAGCCTACAGAGAACAGCACCCTCACAACCCTCAATGAGCCACGACGTCATGCTACGTGAAGAAAAGATCGAAGTTGCACCCAGTGCTCGTGGAAGCTGCAGTCGAGCTATTACGGGACGTGCTGCACTAGGGAATCTGCTGCATGAGTGTGCTGCGATGGGGCTTGCACTTAGAACCCGCTGCTCGCTCCTCTGGGGAGAGACGAGGCTATCTGCTCTCAGAAGACGGGACTCTTGCTTGGAAGCCCCAAGGGGCCGTTCTGTCTGTTCTCAAAGGCTGCTGTGAGTCAGAACTGACTCCCTGAAAGCGAGTTGTTGTTTGGTTTTTTTTGAAAGTGAGTTTTAAAAGTGTTACAAGGCAAAGATGTCGCTTTAAGGACCAAGGTCCACGTGACCCAAGCCATAGCCCTTTCAATCGCCTCGTCCGCATGTGAAAGGTGGACATTGACGAAGGAGGACTGGGGAGGACCTGAGGGTTCGCGTTCCAGCGCTGACATGGAATCGTGACTCTGCCATCAAACAAACAATCCTCGGAGGGGAGACGGCTCAGTGCTCTTCAGATGGAGAGATTGTGGCTCGTGCACTGTAGACATGTGGTCAGGAAGGCCGGTGCGTGGGAAAGGACCTCACGACGGTCAAGTGGAAGATCGTGGAAAAAGAGAAAGCCCCTCAACAAGATGGACCGACACAGTGGCTGCAACCAGTGGGCTTGAACATAGAAATGATCGTGGCTGGCGTTTTTAAAAAGTCCCAATTTTTGGAAAGAATGCATGACAAGCTAGGGTATACGGTTTTGGGCTGCCATGTGACTATTTCGTCAGGATATGAGTTTTATCAATGACGTCCCGCTTTACCAATGTTAAAATCCGGTCACCTTAATGTAGGGTCTTCGTGAGTCAGCACCAGCTAGGGGGCAGTGAGTCAGCACCAGCTAGGGGGCACCTAACCACAGGAACATTGAATCTGCTTTACAGAATTTGGTTCCAGGTTTCGTTTGGAAAGAGTTCTGCTACTCAGACAGTAACAAGCACACTCAATACCAGAGAGGACAAGTAGTGGAACTGAGGCTGGAACACAGCCTTTGTACCCTTCTGTGTCACGTGTCAGCTCCATCTCCTCCTGCTCAGGATTCAGCTGGCCTTCCTCAAGGGCACGTCCCACTCTGGGTATCTCACTACTCCCTGGGCAGCCTATGCCACGGGGACAGCTCCTGCCCCGCGGGTGCCTCCTGGGGGGGCCGCATCGCTGCAGCTGCCAGTGCTGGGCTGTGGGGAGCAGAGCCACTCTCTCATGAGTTTGACGGTCACCACCCCCTGTCAACGGAAGGGCTCTCAGACAGGCTTGGTGGAATCAGGGACTTCCTCTTTGTGCAAGGTCTGAGTTAGGAGGCTCGGGGTGGGGGTCCCAGCATCAGCTTTAAATCTTAGGGCCATGCTCCTCACAGCTTCTGTAGTAAAGGAACAGATTCTTAAACATTTTAATTTATTTTATTACTACTTTTCAAACTATTACTAGAAAATATATTGCTAGTGGCTTAATAATATACATGGAATTGATTTAAGATACACTGCGACCCCTTTGAGGTTTTAAAGATAAGAACAAATCCATGGTTATTTAGATGATTAAAAATAAAATTCAAAAAGAAAAAATATATAGGTATGTATATATTACAACTTGGCACATATGGCACATATATTACAACTTGGCACAACATAATGAACATAATTAATGTTGCTGGCTGTGCATCTTAAGATTGTAGAAAGGGCATATGTTTTGCTACCTATGTATTTACCACTATATATATATATATACATACACACTAGAAAAACCAAGTCTCATTTCAGAAAATTATTATTCAGTTCAAAGTCACTGTAATTCTTGTAAGTGTATCTAAACCCTGACTCTCGATTTCTGTTTGTGAATTTGCGTTTTTGCCCGTTACCTTGATACACCAGGAACAAATCGTTTGCAAAGTGGCACCAGCCTGAGGCCCAGACGTCAAGCAGCCCTGCGTTGGGCCGACGGCACCGGCAGGGACAGTTTCAAGCTATTAGCCCAGGTGACAGCAGAGGGCACTGGCGTGGGCGTCAAGGACCAAGGCTCTGACCCTGGCTCACTGTCTCGCGGTCCTGAGTCCTTCCTTTCTCTCTGTCCACGTCTCCCGTTTTAAAATGGTTACTAACCAGCCCATTGCGTTTGGCTGTTGAGAGGAGCTAGTGAGGTCATGGGGATTTCCCTGGAGAACGGGGGAAGGAGCTCCCCTGCCATCGTCCAAACGTAGGCTCGGGAGTAAAATGATGGGGGACTTGAAGAGAAGGGAGGCCCTGGGTGGCTCCAAGGGTTACGTTCTCAACTTCCAGCTGAGAAAGGCTGGTAGTTCAAACTTACTCAAGAGAGGTTCTACAAGAGAGGTCTAGCTATCTGCTTCCAGGAGATCCAAGCTATCGGAGGCCCTGCGGAGAACAGCTGTGCTCTGCCACGCATGGGGTCTCCATGAGCTGGAACCAGCAGCAACGGAGGGAGTGTGTGTGTGTGTGTGTGTGTGTGTGTGTGTGCGCGCGCGCTTTGGGAGACTGAGACGCTCTGGGCTGTAAGGAGTTAGTTTAGAGGCAGGCGAAGGAGACTGAGCAGTGAGGTGAAGGAGAAAAGGGTTCAAACCGTGGACATGAGCCCTGCCCGGTGGGCGACAGGGCTGAGCAGGACCGTTTAGATGGAAGAGAACCTCTTTTATTCCTCGCTTTCTCCCCACTTTAAGTCTCTGTCTCTTTCTCCTGCACCCCACCTCCACCGCCCCTGGAAGACCACCCTTCTTTCCAGTCCCAGCCCCTGTGAGATGACCCCAGCGAGGGGAAACCGAGTCCTGAGACTCGGCGAAGCTGAGCGAGCTTGGCGCTCCCTGGGAACCGCAGCAGAGGCTGCAGGCTGGGCCTGTTCCGTGGCTCTCTCCTGCGAAGGCGTTGCCTCTGACTCTTACGGTCGCTCTCTCCCGTCTAGGAAATCACCTTCTACAAGGTCATCGACTACATCCTACACGGCAAAGAAGACATTCAAGTCATTCCGTAAGTGTCATTTCCAAGCGTGTGGAAACTTTAACGTGCTTGTCTACTAGCCCAAAGGCGGGCCCTTTAAGCCCACCCAGAGGGACCTCAGAAGCAAGGCCTGGCACTCTGCTTCCCAAAGGTCACAGCCGCGGGAACCTAAGGCTCCCAGTCCCGCTCTGTAACACACAGCACTGGCATGTGTTGCAATCAGCTGGATGAAAACCACCTTTCCCAGCTACAGGATGAGCGTCTATAGGGGTCCGTGCTGTCAGAGAAACGATAGGATCCTATCAGTGCTTTTCAGCTTGCTGTGCAGGTGCAGCTGGGGTCCCTGCAGGGGGCTTGACAGGAAAGACAGGAAACTGGCTGAGAGAGCATCACGGCCCCCCCCAGCCCCGGGGGCTTATAATCTAAGGCCTCTTCAGGTGTGATCAAGAAAGAGCAGGAAATATGACAAAATAATAATTGATAAATTATCAAGGGCTCATGAGGGAGGGGGGAGCGGGGAGCGGGGAGGGAGGGGAAAAAAATGAGGACCTGATGTCAGGGGCTTAAGTGGAGAGCAAATGTTTTGAGAATGACGAAGGCAATGAATGTACAAATGTGGTTTACACAATTGATGTGGGTATGGATTGTGATAAGAGTCGTATGAGCCCCCAATAAAACGATTTAAAAAAAGAAAGAAAGAAAGAAAGAAAGAAAGAAAGAAAGAGCAGGAAAACAAAGCGCAATGTCCTAAATCTGCCCACAGGCAGGTGAGGCTCAAGGTGACAAACCTTTTTAGTCAGCTTTCTCGTTTGTCAGGAGAGCATTTCTCAGACATTGCATCGACTTCTCGGCTGTTGAACTTTCTGTGTGCCAAGAACCACCCCCGCAGCTCTGGTGATGAGACACAGTGAACATTTCAAGCCGTGGTGGCAGGCTCCTGGAGGCTGGCTGTCGAGGTCAGGGGAGAGGCAGACCCTTGGTCTCTTTTCCCTGATCCATCCTGTCCAACCGAGCAGATCGAATGTGACTGTGTGCTGCCTTCCTCCTTAGGCAGTGGGCCTGACTGTGCACGTTGATGCACGTACTCCTGGTCTCCACGCTGGATTGCCTGACCCGCTGTCACCCAGATAAACCGCCCACCGCTCAGGCTTATCTCTGACTGGTTAGGGAGAAGAAGTTCCCCACGTTCCTGAATGTCTGGGTTCTCTCTGTTTCCTTTCGTTCCTGCTTGCACGAGGGTGGGTTATTTTCTAAACTCACCTCTTTCTTCTCCTTCTCCTCCTCCTGCTTCGCCTCTTCCTCCCCCTCCTCTTCCTCCTCCTCTCCCCCACCCTCTCTATCTCGTTTACCCTTGTTGGATGCGGGCACTTCAATCATTTTGTTTTCTAGATTTATGTCTAGAGCTGCAAGTTTGTTACATCTCACCTGTTTCTCAAGTTACCATAGATCAATGTCTCTCAAGTTCCACCCCTGCTCCCCAAGCATCTCACTTCTGATAGCATGTACCTTGCCGTCCCCCCACACAAACCCAAAACTAGGCCAAGGAAACAGAACCAATCCTAAAGTCTGAGACTAAATCTGTGCCATGAGGTTTGTTCAAGAAGAAGGTGGACCATCGGGTAGCATCAAGACGTCCGGGTGGGGCAGCACTCCCCGGAGTGTCCGCAGGCTTGGATAGCCGGACTGAGGCAGAAGCGGAGCTTCTTTCTGACTGGCTTCTACAGTTTCCCATTGCAATTGGTGTTCGTTGGTCAGCAAGCTTGGGAGTGAGGTCAGAATTGAACTGGCCATCAACCAAAAAACCAAACTCACTGCCATCCAGTCATGGTAGCACAGGGTAGAACCGCCCTGTGCATTTCCAAGACTGAGACGACTTTGTCAGAGTGGAAAGCCCTGTCTTTCTCCCATGGGGCGCCTGGCAGTTTTGAACCGCACATCTTTCAGCGTGCAGCCCGGCATGTAACCACGATGCCACCAGGGCTCCCACTGGCCAGGGAAGGAGGCCTGATTTAAGGGAAGCGAGGCTTCCAGTCCACTAGAGACAAGCCCCTTTGACTGCTGATCCCATTTTGTCAACCACTCAAATCCATTTTTATTTCTTTTAGCAACAATGCCATGTGTGAATGGCAACGTCCTGCTTCGGGCATGAATACTTGAATTAGTCAGGACAGGATAGGCAATGTTGCGGAACGAGTACGCCAATCTTCATGGTATAGATAGCAAAGATTTATTTCAACCATCCAATGACACATCGGGGCTGGGAGTAGTTACAATGTGTTGATTACTGATAGAAAGGTGAGAGCTACGGCTGAGAGATCAGTTGCCATGTCGAACACCGCAAGGTTGACTAACCTTGACAGAGATGACAGGGCATGAGGAAACAGTGACGCTTACAAGGGCCCTCTCCAGGTGACACATGGCTTCCCGCTGAAGCCAGGTATGGCGAGCCTTGACGTCAAGTGGACGCGGAGTGAAATCCTGCTATTTGCCCAGAAGCGAAGCCTAACCACACCCACTGCCTTCAAGTCAATTCCAGCTCATAGCAACCCGGCAGCAGAGAGCAGAACTGCTCCCTAGTGTTTCCAAGGCTGTAAATCTGGATGGGAGCAGACAGCCTCCGTTTTCTCCAGTAAAGCAGCTGGTGGGTTTGAACTGCTTGCCTTGTGGTTAGTAGCCCAACAAGTAATCCACTAGGCTATCAGGTTTCTAGTCAAAGCAAATCCAACTCTCACCGCCATGGAGTAGCCACCCCAATACAATAGGACAGGGTAGAATGGCCTCTGTGAGTTTCTGAGACTATCACTCCTTACAGGAGTCAAAAGCCTCATCTTTCTTCCATGCAGCAGCTGACGGCTTCCAACTGCTGGCCTTGTGGTTCCCAGCCCAACTCACCATGCCACCAGGGTGCTTGCTAGTCAAACCAAAGTGTGTGTGTGTGTGGGGGGGGGGGGCAAAGAACGTAGAGCAAGTGGGAAAATAGAGAACACACATTAAAGTGAAGTTCCTATTGTTGGTGCCATCGGGTCAATGCCGACCCACAGCAACACTATGCACAGCAGAATGAGACACTGCCCGGGGCTGCCCATCCTCACAGTCCCTCCTATGTCTGAGCCCATTGTTGCAGCCGCTGTGTCCATCCATGTTGTCGAGGGCCTCCCCTTTCTTGCTTCCCTTCCACTTTACCAAACATGATGTCCTTCTCCAGGAATCGGCCTCTTCCGACAGCACGTTCAAAGCACGTAAGACAGAGTCTTGCCCTCCTTGTCTCTGAGGAGCACTCTGGCCGCACTTCTTCCAAGACAGGTTGGTTTGTCCTTTCAGAGGTCCATTCAGGGGATAGGTTAATCCAAAGAGATCAGTCCTGGAGGAACCGTGGTGGCTCCGTGGGTGAAGTGGTGCGTGGCCTGTGAGTGGAAAGGCATGCAGCCGAGGCCATCTGCTCCCCACAGACCTGCCGCCTCTGAAACCCCAGCAGCTGTTCCACTCTGTCCTGTGTGGCCTCTGTAAGTCAGAATCAACCCCGCTGCAGTGGTTCGAGGCTGGTATATGAAGAGCCACCTTAAATATGAGCCAACTACACCTTCCCGATACATGGTAGAAATTGCTATACTGCATGAGGAAGAAATCTGTTATATTTCACTGATTCTAAGAGAGACCCCCCCTTTTTTTACCTTTCTGAAATAGAATTTACAGAGCTACATCTGCATTTTAAGAGTTCTTTTGGAACGAGAAAGGTCAAAGCGGTAAGTGGTGCAAACGTCGTGCATCACAGATGCGTTGATCGTGATTTCTTTTTCTCGGTACTTGACCCCCTCTGAGATTTGAAGAGACACGGTGTGTGCTGCTCACAATGTGGTGAGGGGCCGTCCAGGCAGTTCTGGCTCACCGCCACTGTGTGCAAGAGCACGGCATGCTGCCCGGTCCTGTGTCAACCTTGCCATTGTCGCCACGTTTGCGGTGTGCAGTAGGACCAACAGAGCATGGCCCAGGGCATTACACTGGGTTACCCATAAAACACTGGGCCTGAGGATGCTCACTTCCCCTCCAATGTCATTGTTCAGGAGAATGGGCCTCTTGTCCAAATCCGTGACTTCTTGGGTGAAAAATGCATCCAGAGGTTTTGGATGAACACAGGGCGGCTTGTTCAGCGTCTCAAGCCCAGAAAGATGAGTTAATTCTTGAAGGAAACAATGCTGAGCTTGGATCAAATTCAGCTGCTTCAATTCAGCAACCCATGACAGTTAAAAACAAGGATATCCGGGAACTTGGGGATGTTCCTGAAAAGGGAACAATAAACAAGTAAAAGGCAATAATACAAAAGTAGTTATATTGTTGTGAGACATATACATGTACAGGTTAGCATTAGTGCAGGATAGCAGGGTGTGGTCGGAGGGGGTGTGTCAGCCCCCACCACTAATCACAGGTTCCATAGGCACAATTTTACGGTTGAGATATATAAATATTATATTAAAGTCATCAAGAGCATGAGCTATAGAAGAGAGAGAGAAATAAAGGAGTCAGACACATTTCATGGTAGCATGCTCACCTCCTGGATGGCCATGATCTTACCAGCCAGGTCTGCGCACAGCGTGGGCCGATGCTAGGTGAGGCAGGGACCGGGCAGGATACTCGAGTACCCCGCAGGAGGTTGGAGGACCCCGTTTATTGCTAGCCAAGGGTTATATCTACTTAGGGGGACGTGATTACAAGTAACCACATGTGACAGGAAGGAGCAGTACAATAGGCATACACATTATAGGAAGGGGATGTACAATGGGCATAGGCATAACAGGAAGGGTATGAACCAGGGCTGTACACGTGATAGGGAAGGGAGGGATTAGAGGTATACATGTGACAAGAAGGGTGGACCCTAGATTCATGATGGCGGCCTAACCTTGGTTACCCTTGCATGGGCTTGACCTCTCAGGGGTCTCCTACAGAAGGGAGTGGGCCCTACTTGTTGTGGGATAAACAGTGGTGACTGCTTGCTCTAGATGGCTGATAACCCTTAGGGAGAATAACCCCTGACCTACTTCTGATGACCTCCAAGTGTACAGTCATTCGCAAGCAGCTAAGTTTGGCATATATTTGGGGGAGACAGGTTGGGAGAAATCCTTCTGTTTCCCACAACAGGGGACTAGAAGTGAGTTTCTGTACTTCCCACCTAGGACTAAGTATTAACTTCACGAGAGAAGGGATGGAATCTGCTTTTGCTCGGCAGCCAGGAATGGCTTGCTGAATGAAATTGCCCCTTTGATAGTTCCGGTCAGTGGGCAGCCAGTAAAAGGCATCCCTCATGCTTCCCTCAGTGTCCAAATCCGGCCCCTCCAATTGGTGCCCAAGATTTGGAACTCAGTCCAACGTAGTGAGTGTGAGTTCGGGAGGGGGGCATCTCCAGAGTAGGGAGAAGGCAACGACCCAGTCTCAAGCTGGCACTTTTTGTTGTTTTTACATGGTGCTTTGGGTTGGAAAGTTCACAGAGCAAAGTGACTTTTCCCTCAGCAATTCCTATACGTTTTATTTTGTGACAATGATTTCCACCCCACGGTCTAACCACCCCCTTCCCTGTGTGTTTGCCATGTCCGTGTGTCCTTCTTTCCTGTCCTTCCTGCCTCCTGACCCAGACTTGAGTTCTAATCCAACTGTACTTGCATCAAAAGACATCATGTGTGATGGAAAATTCGGCAGGGTTTACTGGTGATGGTTGTACAATTATAATCATTGGTGTCACTGCATTGCATATGTAGAAAGTGCTGTCTATGGCATTTGTACAATGAAATCACCATGTATCTGTGACTTTTACAGGAATCCGCCCCCTGACCATTGGGCTTTAGTGAGCGGTCTCCCCACCTACGTTGCCCAAAATGGCTTGGTAAGTCATATAGCGTGGAAGGGGACGGGGGTGGGGGAGTGGGGGGAGGTGGGGGGGGTTTCCATCAGGCAGAAGGAGGAAAGCATTTCCATCAAAATGGGAAAAGTGGCTCTTCAACCTTGCTTCTCAAGGTTGGCCTACAACTCGCTGGACACTCGAGTGGAGGAGAACAGACAATGGACCCGGAGGGCATGAGCAATGCAGAGAGACACAGGCTCACATGAAAAGGTGTATAGTCTCAAGACAACCAAAGATCCTTCCCTATGCATGCCAGGGACTAAGCCATGCCTGGATGGTCTACCAGAGACTAAGACTCACGCTCCCATACCACCGGCTTAATTGCCACTCCCACCCTCCCACTTCTGGGCACTTCAGCCAGGCCAGGAATCAGCTAGGTGCTATCCAGGCAGCTCCAACTCCTGCTGCCTGGGGGTGTGCCAGACTAGAGCAGTGCTCCATAGACTTTCTCCACGGGAGTTTTGGGGTTTTTTAAGTAGATCACCAGGATTGTCTTCCAAGGTGCCTGTGAGTGGATTAAAACCACCAACCTTGCATCAAAGGACAAAAAAATCAAATCACTGTGAATGAGGGAGAATGCAGATTGGGGTCCCAAGACCCATCTGTAGGCAACTGGACATCCCCTTACAGAAGGGTCACGGGGAGGAGACGAGCCAGTCAGGGTGCAGTGTAGCAATGATGAAACATATAACTTTCCTCTAATTCCTAAATGCTTCCTCCCCGCCCGCCCCCGCACTATCATGATCCCAATTTTACCTTACAAATCTGGCTAGACCAGAGGATGTACACTGGTACAGATAGGAACCAGAAACACAGGGAATCCAGGACAGATGAACCCCTCAGGACCAGTGGTGAGAGTGGCGATACCGGGAGGGTGGAGGGAGGGTGGGATGAAAAGGGGGAACCGATTACAAGGATCTACATATAATCTTCTCCGTGGGGGATGGATGGACTACGGAAAAGTGGGTGAGGGGAGACGTCACACAGTGTAAGATATGAGAAAATAATAATAATTTATGAATTATCAAGGGTTCATGGGGGAGGGAGCAGCAGGGAGAGGGGGGGGAAATGAGGAGCTGATACCAAGGGCTCAAGTAGAAAGCAAATGTTTTGAGAATGATGATGGCAACAAATGTAGAAATGTGCTTGACACACAGATGTATGTATGGATTGTGATGAGAGTTGTACGAGCCCCCAATAAAATGATTAAAAACAAAAGAGCTGTAAGAGCGCCCAATAAAATGATTTTTTTTAATGCTAAAAACAACAACAACAAAAACCCACCAACCTTTTGTTTAGCACCTGAATCTTACCCAGGGCCTTCATAGGACATGTGCCCCTTCCCCTCCCCCCAAAACCAAACCCATTTCCATTGAGTGGCCCCGGATTCATAGTGTCCTTATACTGTGCTTCTGAAGCTGTGCATCTTTACAGGAGTAGATAGCCTTGTCTTTCTCCCAAGGACTAATTCAGGGTTTGAACTGCTGACCTTGGGGTTGGCAGTGCAAGGTTCACCTGACTGACTGTATGACTAGGAGTCCTATATGCCATATAAAAACTCACTCCCATTGAGTCAGTGCTGAGTCATAGTGACCCTATAGGCCATGGTAGCACTGCCCCCTGTGGGTTTCCAAGACTGTAACTCTTTACAGGAGTAGAAAGCCCCATCTTTCTCTCAATAGGCCATATTAAAAAAAATACAAACACACCGCCACCACCCAAACCACGGCCATCGAGTCAATGCTGACCCATAATGATCCCCTCAGGCAGGGTGGACTGCCCCTCTGGGTTTCCAAGACTAAAACTCTCTATGGGAGTAAAAAGCTCCATCTTCCTCCTGCGGATCAGCTGGTGGATTTGAACTGCTGACCATGTAGTTAGTGACCCAACTCATAACCACTATGCCACCAGAGTTCCCTGATGTGCCATACATCCACTCTCCTCAAACACACTCACTGCTACCAGGTTTTCAGGTTGATGAGCATCTCAACAAAGCCAAAGCAGCAAATTATATATTTATCTGTGTGTATACATATACATATACATATATGTAATTTATACAAACAACCCACTACTATGATTGCCACCGAGTGCTTACATAGAGGGCAAGCTGTAGTGCAGGAGGTGGGCAGGCACCAAGTACATTTACTCATTTAATGCTCATGACACCTGACCAGGGCTCAGGTTGGAGAACCACTGGAGGGTCAGCCTGGCAGCGTGTTGTGGTTGATGGTAAGCAGAGACGAAGGGGAGGAAGAGTCCAGATTAATCTCAGACTGGAGGGATAGTGTGGCCATCGGGTTCAGACATAAGATGACAAGGTCCCTTCCAGGCCAGATGAGTTTGAAAGCGCTTTCGAGAGCACATGTCTAGCAGCTGGTGCTGTGGGGAGAGAGGTGGTGGGAGATGGAGATGAGGACAATATGAGGCCAACGGACCTGAGTGTGCGTGAAATCACGCGAGGGGGGGCGTGAGAGAAATGGAGCGTTGGTAGCATATGCACTGGAGGATGCTCACATTTCAAGCTCGTAAGGAGAAGGAGGGGGAGTGTGTGGTGGAGAATCAGGAGTGTTGGAGGCATGTGGAAAACCAGGAGAAGGCAGTGCCGTGGAAACCAAGGAAGTAGGAAGTTTCTGCCAAAAGGGAGAGAACCAAATGCAACAGCATGCTTGATTGATTGATTGATGATTGATTGATTAGATAGACTGACCTCCCTGCCCTCACTGGGTTCAGCCACCAGGAGGCTGGTGGTGACCCTCCCAATAGCCAATTAGGTGGTGAGGTGAAGGCAAACACCAAGGTGTGACCTGTTGTTGAGTGGACGAGTCAGGAGAAGGGACAGAGCACAGAGGAGAGGAGGAGTAAGCTGGGGTGGTTACTATGGGGACCACACGGGGACAAGGGACGTTTCCTTTTTAAGGATGGGGGAGACGCCAGCATCTCCTGGGCTGAGGGGAATGGGCCCTCAGAGAGGTGAGAGGCGACGTCTGAGCTGGCAACCCTGAAGCTAGTTCGAGCAGGGCCAGGCGATGGGGCGTGTCGGGGCTGGGCACTCCTCCACCAGACCAGAGACCATTGGGCAGTCAGGGACTATTCACAAGCAGGGCCTCCGTGAGCCTGAATGAAGGCTTTGTGCGTATTAAAGAGAGGTGCCCTGGAGGAGTGCAGGAGGAGTGGCGAAAGGTCAACAGCAGGGCCCCACAGAGTGCAGGCTGGGTTTCGGCAGCCAGCTGTCTGCTCAGCTGGATGCCCTTGTGCAGTGCACAGCCCCCAGCACCAGACCCCGAGGCCCTATGGCAGAATCAGATTAGTACCTTCCATGGTCCAGTTTTACAAAAGGGAATCAGATGATTCATAACCAGAACTACAAGCCTTGAACTTCTTATTCTCCTCAGGGCTTATACGCCAAGGAAGTAACCTCATCTTGCTAAAACAAGCAAAACCCACATGTGACCGATTCAAAACGTTTAGAATAGAATTATATATTAATAAAATAGCATTATTAATATCTATAATATAATATCTACGTAGTCATATCTACACTGTTAATTAGACACAACCCAAATGAATAGCTAGACACAACGCAACACAATGGGATGCTGTACAGCTAATAATCATGACCAAACATAACCTTAACTTTCTCAGAGGCCTGAAATGGCTTGCAAGGGAAGCAAATGGCAAGAAGCAATGTTCTTAAATTGTTCTTTACCTGCCTGGTAGCCTCTGTGAATAGCACACCTGCTGCAAGGAATGCGATTGCCTGGGGCGGGGACGTTGCGTTTCAGCAGGCTGCTCTCCGGGCAAATCCCAGCTTCATTCTCCCTTCTGGGCTTTCAGATCTGCAACATCATGAACGCGCCTGCTGAGGACTCCTTTGCCTTCCAGGTAGGTCCCTTTCTGGTTGTTCGCCTGGTGATACGACTACTTTCCATCCACAATGACTATTAGAGGACATTAGAACCTGACCACGGACAGACAAATAGTCAACCCAAGTGAAAATAGGGGATCAGGGGGCGGGGGAAGCACGTGCCAGTTAAAGTAACACACACGTCTCCATGGTCTCCGGGTCCCTGATTGGAACAAATTATTATGAGCCGGAGGCTAACTCAAAAGGTGGAGGTTCAAGTTCACCAGAGAAACCTTGGGAGAAAGCTCTGACAAGCCAACCATCACAGACCTTCCTCTAATACACACAGGGCCGCCGGGGGTTGGAGTGGACTTAATGGCAACTGGTTTATCAGACTTTGACAGTCCACCCCCTTTCTTTGCTGGCCTCAGTCTCTTCCCGGACATCACCTCCCGCCCAGACCTTTTCAGCCCCTTAAGGACAACCTCAACTGCTACTACCTTCACGAAATCTTTCCTGATTCTCCTAGCTGAAATGTGATGTCTAGCTCTTTAGAATTTTCATGAGACATTGCTTAAAATTCCATTTTATTTTATTTTTATTCAGAGGTGGGGAATCTTTTACTGCCGAGTACCCTTTGGGTATTTATCACATCATCCGTGGGGCATACTGGTCAGGTGTGTAAGGAACTCCCCCTCAGGTGAGGGCTACCAGGAGCTGTGGTGGTGAGGGGGTGACACATGGTGGGCAGTTTGAAGCCACCAGGAGCTCTGCAGGAGGAAGACTGGGTTTCCGACCTGTAAACACTGACAGTCTCAGGGACACCCGGGGCCGCTATGAGTCAGCCTGGCCTGGATGGCAGGGAGAGTCGAGAATGCGATGGCAGAAAGGCTGATTGAGATATGCGGCTGGCTGATCTTGAGGGTGTGCAGTTTCACGTGACCTGCTCCAGAAGCCCCAAACTCCCTGCCACCCAGCTGATTCCAACTCATAGCGACTCTACAGGACAGGCGGCAACTGCCTGTAGGCTTCAACTGTCTTTTAAAAAGTTCCATGGGCATATAATTTGTTGCGGGTTTGAATAAATGGCTATAATGTCTTGATAGTTCCAGAGTCTTCCAATTTTTAGTATATGTGCTGCTGAAGCGAGCACAGTTCCAGAGTCTTTATTCTGTTATCACCAGACTGCTAGAATCTAAAAGCGATTCTTTGATTGCAGTCCCAAGTCCACATTTCAGTTCATCTTTAAGGACGGAAAAACTCATTGATCACCTGTCTGGGGTTCAAGCAAGCATGACCAGAAGCAGAAAGTAAAATTAATGGATTAATTGTAACTTCAAGAAGAGTAAGCATGCATTACAAGGAACATGTCTTATCCTAAAAGAAACAATGCCAAAAGTGATTAGAACATCCTGGTTACAATCACAAAATGATACCGTCACATCCTGGGGATCCTGACAAGATTAACTACAGCATTCAGATCACAACATCCAAGGGAACAACATTGATCAGAACAAGCGATATGTCGAAGAATAGTCAAACTAATTGTAGTGTCTGGAACCTGGGAACCTGGGAGCACATTCTAAACTTAACCACCAGCCGAGACTTTCCCATCAGGGGAGGGGGAACGGGCAGGTTAGCCAGCAGTCAGCTTTCTGAGCTGGGAGGGAGGGAGGAACGGGCAAGTCACTTAGCAGCTTACAAAAATGGAGTTTCTTTTGCTAGTCTGCCTCAATTCACATGATTATACAATTCAATAGTTCAAGCACATCAAGAAGAGTTGTAATGCATCACCACAATCAGCTTTAGAACGTTTTCTTCATTCTTGCGCTCCTCGTTATTAGCTCTCCAGTCCCTGCCCCAACCTCCTTTGCCATGTCTTCAAGGAGCCATTCTCTCAGTTACTAAGACTGTAACGCTTGACAAGAGTAGAAAGTCTTTTCTTTCTCCTGCGGAGGAGCTGGTGGTTTTGAACTGCTGACCTTGCAGTTAGCAGCCCAACACGTAACCACTGCCCTACCAAGGTTCCTGTCAGGGCCAATAGGTAACATCATGATAAACGAAGAAAAGATGGAATTTGTCAAGGATTTCATCTTGCTCGGATCCACAAGCAATGCCCATGGAGGCAGCAGTAGAGCGCAAACCGCACTGCATTGGGTACGTCTGCTGCACGAGACCTCTTTCAAGTGTGGAAAAGCAAGGATGTGACTTTGAGGACTAAGGTGCACCTGAGCGGAGTCATGGCATTTTCAATCGCCTCATGTGCATGTGAACGTTGGACATTGAATAAGCAAGCCCGGGGAAGGATCGGTGCATTTGAATTCTGGTGCTGGTAAGAACATTGAGCGTACCATGGACT